AAAAAAAAAAAAAAAAAAAAAAAAAAGGGAAATGAATGAAATGAAATTTCCGGCGATTCCGGTGATGTCGATGCAGTGACAGATGTAACGGTCCCTTCCTTGGGGCTCAATTGCACACACAACACATGGGGACTCGCTGCACTGCTCTCCAAATGTGCAAAATGAGATTGAATCCACCTCTGGAACATGGCAAGATGCATTGCCATCTTTTTTGTCTTTTGCGCATGTGGAGAGTAGTGCAGCGAGGCTCATGAAACCAGAGATCAATTTTTTTGTCGAATACCTGAGCGGACTATCATTTTGGGAAACTATGCTTGCAGGGACCATGTCCCATATGCACCGTTTAGTTGAGGCAGCTCAACGGTGCGACAGCTAAAAAAAATCATTTTAATTCAATTTCAAATGAGAAATGCATTTATAAATTCTCGTTTTTCATTTTTCACAATTGGAGTGGCATACGGGCGCTTCCACAGCAGAAAATGAAGAGTTGCCCGAATCCCTAAAAATGGCAACCGGAAAGAGGCTCGTTCAGTTTCTTTGGAAAAACGCCTTTTGGGGGAACAAGAGGGTAACGGAAAGTGGCGAGGGTAGGGGTAGTAGTATTCGAGAGAAAGGATTTGTTTCTGTTTTTTTATGTAAGAAAAAGCGAAGATGGTCTCTATTGCCGTTTTTATTAGAAACGGACCGTTAGATGAATTGGACGACTAGCATCTCCCTTGTCGCGTACAGTCACACAGGCTCGAAAACCCCACGTTCAACTAGCTCAACGGAGCTAGTGGGACAAGGTCCCAGGGGCGAGGTCCCACTAGCAACGGGATAGGATAGAAACGAGTTTGTGGGGCAGTTGAGTGACCCAAATCCTGCCGTGCAGTACTGGTGATCCCACGGTCAGTGATTTACATGTATTACCCGAAAAAGTAAGGAGATCTTCGTTCCCCTCCCCCTCTCCTTAACACTGGGCATGCCCGTGCAAAGACAGCTTCCCGCCAGAATCTTCTCAATCGGTTGGGGGTGTGGCCAACCCCAAACGAGGCTGGGGTCGGCGTTAGCCCACTGGATAGAAGATTTTCTGCATTTTACTTGCTGTTGTGCAATTATCTCATTGGGTAGAGCCCTCCTTCATCACCGAGTATATGGAGGGTGTCAGGATCACTGCTGACAGAAGTAGATTTTATTCCAAAAAAATGTGGGGGTTACTTTGTTCACTGTTTTTGCAACCACCACCATCAGATCATTTGTGATCTGATGGCTGGGAAGCACTCTGCCGTGATCCCCGGTGGGAGGTCTCTGTTTCTTTTTTTTTTTTGGGCGTTTTTCCTGTTTCTCAGCCCAGAAATTCGTAATGAACATGTCTGGCCGCTGCCACTCAGTGTCACACTGGATCGGCCACACTCCTATCCGACTGCTAATGGGACCTCGCTCCAGGAGGGAGATCCCACTAGCATTGTATGCAGAGTAGTGTAGAGGGCGTGTGACCCGCCTCTGCCGTCGATGGGAATGGGGATCGGTGGTTTTGTTTTCCTGTATTTTAGCCCTCGAAAATATATGTTTTTTTGGAGCATCCCATTGGGTGGCCTTTCTTTTGTTTTGCTTGCCGTGTTCCTCTGGGGGTCCCGAACGTGAGTGAAAATCAGACCCATTTTTTTTGTGTTGCTTTTCACTCACCTTTCACTCACCTTTGGGTTGTGGCCCATGCGTGGAAGAGAGGCCGAAGACAAAATTTTTCGGTGTTTCCCATCATGAGGGAATGTCAGTCCGTGTCAGACCCTCGTCCAAGTTGTCTGTAGTCCCCACAAATGTTTCACATGGGCAATGCTTTTGTCCTCTTCCTTTGACATGCATGTGCCCCCTTATTTTTTGGGAGGTGTTTKGGAGGGTTCGATCCCCTCACCTACAGCAAATGGTGTATGGAGTTACTCTTGCCCTTGTTTTTTTACGTTTATTTTCCCTATTTCACGCTGCCACCCACCTGTCCCCCACCCGTCCCCCACCTGTCACACTAATCCACATACCTGGCTAGTGGGATCTCCCTCCAGGGGTCCCCTCTAGAAACCAGAGATCATGAGGTCGAATACCTGAGCGGACTCCGCGCAAAAAAAAAAAAAAAAAAACTTTTTTTTTATTTTTTTTTATTTTAAAGCTATATTCTTCTCTCAATTTCACCTCACACTACCTACCTACCACTACTCCTAATTAATTGTAGGCATACGGGGAACCCCGTAGCAGCCAGAACCGTGTTCACGAGAGAACATGCGGGGGCTGCTCCCGACCTGCAGGTGGGCGATCCCCACGAATAGATCCGAAAAAAAAAGAAAAAAAGAAAAACCTGAGTGGAGGCCGGACTTGCGCGTGTTTCCTTGTTTCCTAGGCCGAGGTCCCAGTAGCCAAGAGGATCGGTTGAAGCTCCTGAATCTGGATGTGTTTTGTGCAGAGATGCAGAAAAGCAGTTCAATTTCGATTTCCTGCACCTCTCCATAAACTCGTCCAGATGCAGGCATTCGATCCGATCCTCTTTGCTAGTGGGACCACGGCCCTAAGGCTGAGCTTCCAAGTCTATGGTGGAAGCCTGCTCATCGCCAAACCACTCTCGAAATGTGCACAATGCAGAATGAACTTGCCGCTAGAACATGGCCAGATGCACCCTCCACAGTTTTGTCTTTTTCACATTTTCCCTCAGTAAGGGCATATACTCACACAAGCAAAATTAGCCAGACCCCCACTGGCGGCCCCAACCCTATACCCTAAACATTAGGGGCAAGGGGCAACATGAAATCTCCCCTTCACAGTGAGAGGAAACTATGCTTGCAGGGGTCCCCTCTAGATAGCCTTACTAGGAGTAGGTAGTGAAAGGCAAAAAGCAGAAGTAGAGAGAAGAATATAGAATATATATATATATGACGATATATATATTATATTCTATTTGACGATATATATATTGCAAAATCTGAAAAAAAAAAAAAAAAAAACAATTGCAAAATCTGGTAGGTAGGTTTGCAGGTTTGCTAAGGGTGCAGTCATGCGCTGAGGGGCCTTTTTGGATGGGACGATGCCATAACCGCCCAACATAAGGGGAGGGGCCTTTTTGGATGGGACTATGACATAACCGTCCAACATAGGGGCTTGCCACACAGCCTTTTTGGATTGGCCGGCGTGGAAAGGCATGATTTCGAAGAGATGAGATCCTCCGGCCTGTCATGGCATTGAGCGTTTCCTAAAAAGACCTCAACGACTGGTCTTGTGAAAAGGCCCACTCTAAACGGTTGATTGGCAAAAAAAAAAAAAAGGGGAAAAAAAGGGGCAATTTAACGGCAATTACAAGGGCCTGGCTCCACTACTCTCTATATAGACAAAAGACAAAAATTATGGTGGTGTATCTTTCCATGTTCTAGCCAAAGATTCACACTCTCGTGTAAAGTGTAGAGAGCAGTGGAGCTAGGCCCTAATGTGCATAATATAGAAAGGCCTCGGTGTTTCAAAAGTCTGCGTGGCGAGGCGGGGGGTTCCTTTCGACGAGCAGCCTTTCGAAAAACGTCTGACACCTTTCGGAAAAGGTCTTCATTCAAAAGGCTGTGTGGTGAGCCCCATATTAGAAGTGGCCCCTACTGCTTTGGGGCAAAGCTTTGGAATAAGATTTGTGAGACCCCACTGCTTTGCGGCAAAGCTTCTGAAAACGCTAAAAAAAACGTCCAACATATTAGAGGTAGAGGTGGACCCCACTGCTTTGGGGCAAAGCCTTGGAAGAAGATTTATGAGACCCCACTGCTTTGCGGCAAAGCTTCTGAAAACGCTAAAAAAAACGTCCAACATATTAGAGGTAGAGGTGGACCCCACTGCTTTGGGGCAAAGCCTTGGAAGAAGATTTATGAGACCCCACTGCTTTGCGGCAAAATTTCGGAAAAATGCTCAGAAATGACGTGGCAGAGGTTTTCACTCAGTTTCGTTTTGGCCGTTCCTCACGGTTCGGCCATCCTGAAGGGTTAGAGGGGGGGGGGKGGGGTGAAGGGCACCTCCCTCGGTTTGGCCATCCCATGTGGAAAGTAGGAGAGCAAGGGATTGGATGAGAACCGAGACAAGAGGATGTGAAGATTCCGTATAGGGAAAGTTTTCCCTATCGGGTAACCAACGGACCTGCCAAAATTTTGTGCTGGAGTGGGGTCCGCTTTTCTCTTTCCCATCGTCGGGCCTACGATTTGGGTTTGGCGGAAGCTTTCTTCCGCCTGGAAAGCTTCCGCCAGGCAGTGGGGTCCGCCTGTTAAATTTTGCGCAATCTGCAACCTGTGCGGTCACAAGGCGGGCTTTGTTTCTCGTTTTTTCCCTGTTTTTTCTTTTTTTTTTTCTTTTTCTTTCGAACCACCACTTCCTCCGAGCCTACCCGCTATACCCAGTCCCAGCGCCAACTTGCACCTATACCTCGAAAACTGCCAGTCAAAGTTATTCGCATACCCAGGACTGAGGGGACCTGTGACGCACAACCTCACGCCCAACGCGACTTCCTGTTCGGAGTGGGATGGGGGCGTGGAAGTGCGAAAAGGGGTGTGCCAAGGATTTTTGGGAATTGAAGTGGAGTCCCAGGTCAGAACTGAGATCTCCGGTGGCAAGCTTAGGGGTAGTTGAGCAAGTTGGCAATCCCGAGTTATATTGGACTGCGGGAGACCGGGCCACCTCCGGTGCAAGCGTCGCCGTCACGGGCGGTCCCGTATCTGATGGACCCTCGGGACGCTGTGTGTGTCGCGCTGGGCGATCAGCCGCTGGCGCCGCTCGTGGCAGACTTCGGAATCCGACGAGGCTGGTCTCAGTCAGAGGCTGTGAGATCACGGGTCCGCCTCAGTCCGGGTTCGGCGAACAAATCCCGCCATGCGGTACACTCAGAGCACAAGATGCGTGGCCAGTGAGGGTCGATCGTGCCCCAAGGGACCGCCGTAAGGCAGTGAAAGAGGATTACGAGACAGTGTGACGCCCAACCTCACGCCCAGCGCGACTTCCTGATCGGAGTGGGATGGGGGCCTGGAAGTGCAAAAAGGGGTGTGCCAAGGATTTTAGGAAAGTGGGGGTGAAGTTCCAGGTCGGAACTGAGATCTCCTGTGACAAGTTCCAGGGGTTCAGGTGCAAAAGGGGATATACTCAGAGGGGAGGTAGCCGATGTCGTGCAGCATAAGGCAGATGGCATGCGCAGTGCGTCCCAGGGTAAGATCCGGGGCGCTTGGTGTTACTACCGTACCGATAGATCTAAACACTCTTGCATTCTCGAACAAAATTCCAACAAAATTGCCCTTACCCACATAATTTAATTTTTACGGTCGAATAGGCAAAGAAATCACACATCGCCGCTGATTCTGTCATCGAGGTCGGTCGCGTGGTTCGGCCTGTTGTCGGCGCCACTCGTAACAGGCCTCAGATTCAGCCGATGCGCGTGGCTGCTCTGCTTC